CAGCGTGGCGACGATGGACAAGATCCTGGAGGGCCTGGTGAGTTCCTCGCATCCTCTGCCCCTCAAGCGGATGATTGTGCGGAAGGTGGTGGAGTCCGCGGAGCACTGGCTCGACGGGGCGCAGTGCGAGGCCATGTTTGACCTGACGACCCGTCTCATCCTGGAGGGCCCGGACCCTTTCCAGCGACAAGTGGGCCACCAGGTGCTGGAGGCCTACGCGCGGTACCACCGGCCGGAGTTCGAGTCCTTCTTCAACAAGACCTTCGTGTTGGGCCTCCTTCAGCAGGGCTACCACTCACTGGACAGGAAGGACGTAGCCATCCTGGACTACATTCACAACGGCCTGAAGCTAATCATGAGCTGCCCGTCGGTGCTGGACCTCTTCAGCCTGCTTCAGGTGGAGGTGCTGCGCCTGGTCTGTGAGAGGCCAGAGCCACAGCTCTGTGCCCGCCTCAGCGACCTTCTGACAGATTTCGTGCAGTGCGTCCCCAAAGGGAAACTGGCCATTACCTTCTGTCAACAGCTGGTTCGAACGATAGGGCACTTCCAGTGTGTGTCCACCCAGGAGAAGGAGCTGCGGGAGTATGTCTCCCAGGTGACGAAAGTGAGTAACTTACTACAAAATATCTGGAAGGCCGAGCCCTCCACGCTGCTACCTTCTCTGCAAGAAGTTTTTGCAAGCATCTCTTCCACAGGTAAGGGTCATTATTTGCAGGAAAATATGCCTTGGAGATTCGGCACGTGTCTCAAATGTACCTCACTTTCTGCCCGGAAACATTCTCTTTTGGGGGACTAGAGGGTCAGCCAGCATACCTCCTTATTTGTGGAAATTCTCCAGGAAGAGGCATTCTTGATGGAGAGCAAATCTAGACGCCTTATCCAAAGCTTTATTCCACTCCACTGCCTTGTTCAGAATCGTACGTTGTAGCTGAAAGGTCGAGGAGCCTAAGTCCGAAGACCTTTGTCACTGAACAAGTCACTTAATTACGCAGCCTCTGCTCCAGTTTCAGAATGCTTCCAGGCCGACAGCCATTATGGAAAGCTTGTAGTCATTACTGACTAATGCTCTCGTATGATGCTTACCACGTTATTATTACTGTATGTAACTATTATCTTGTTGAAGTAGTTTTTCAGTGTTCTCATTTTTTAAAAAATCATGGACCATGCACAGTCCATTATAGGATTGTCCCAGCTTACTGTCTAGTGTTTTTAAAGTGTTGTTGTTTTCACTCCATACCGTGTTTGTAACAGGAGACCCAGGTGGCACGGAAATAGGTGTGGAGTATGACGCGGGCCGTTTGGCCGCCCAGGTGGATGCTTGTCTTGTCTTCATCACCAGCTGCGTCCTCAGAAACTGGGACGTTCAAAGGATCGAACTTAACCTAAGAATTCTATGTGTCTGTCCTTGGAAGGGCTTTAAAATCTGTCAGTCAAACTGAACTTGTAAAGCTGCCCTCTTTATCTTAACCAGAAATGAGAGTCGAGTTTTAAAAGCTCATACAATGTAGTGCATTTTTTATATACCAGGTCCATTAGCTTCCCCTCCCTGTAATTTTACTGGTAGTTAGGTTTCTGTTTCAAGTCTTTAAGCTGTAGTAGTGAAGCTGATCATCATAATCCTGACGTTTATGTAAGTAAAGTCAGCACCTTCATCTTAATTTCTACTCAAGATTTGTAAGTCTCCCTTAGAGTAGTATTATAACTACTGTAATATTTCTTAATTATTTTAGAACCTCTGACCTAGACATTAGAATGATATGTGACTGGTTGTATTATTTTTTTCTAATTGAAACATGTCAAAACAGTATCTAAACCAAAAAAAGTAGCATTAACAATGGTATTGATTAACGTTAGCAGTAGTTTTGTAATTCGTTGTTCTCTCTCGAGTGAGTGATTATTGCTGTGCACTCCTAACTCTCTCTTCTGTGATCAACTTTCAATTCAGAGTCTACCCATGAGGCATAGTATAACACCTTCTTTGAGCGCCTTTACTCCAAGTGCGCATGTCGTTTTTTCCCTTGAACTAGTTCACTTTGAGCCTGTTTGCCATATTTACCTATCTTTCTAACTAAAACTAGATGCATCCTTTGAGCCCTCAGTCGCCTTGGCCAGCCTTGTGCAGCATATTCCTCTGCAGATGATCACGGTCCTCATCCGGAGCCTGACCGCCGACCCGAATGTAAAAGACGCCAGTATGACCCAGGCTCTCTGCAGGTACTTTGTTGTGTATGCCAGATGTTAACACCCGAGAAGAGACGGTATTCTGCCCTTTTGTGTGAATAGTGGAAAACTTGGGAAATTTCTAAAACTGAAATCATGAAATATATTAGTAGTTTCTCCAAATTAACTAGAATGACTTATCTTTTTATAGCTCATCTGAAATTGTTTGGTTGGGTTTTTCTGGAATCTTTATTCCTTATCATTTCCTGTAGACTTTCGTGTAGGGTGGTGGTTGTTACTGTTATTCCTCTTACCTAGGTAGGGATTTTATTTTCTTCTTCAACCGCCCTTGCCTCTTTGGATTTATTTTATTTTATGTGTGTGTTCTGCCTTCGTGTATGTATGTGTACCATATGCTTGGTGTCCGAGGAGGTCAGCTCCTGCAACTGGGGTTATGGATGTTTGTGAACCCAGTACGTGTGTGCTAGAAATTGAACCTGGATCCTCTACAAGAGCAACAAGTGTTCTTAATCACTGAACCATCTCTCCAGCCCCTATCTTTGCTTTCTCTCCCTTATTCATAATTGGATAAACTTGGCCAGATCCAGAATTCTGGTTTGATAGCTGTTTTCTTTTAACATTTTTAAAGTAATAGCAAATTGTTGTTGGGCATTTTGTTCAACTGTTTGCTCGTGGGAGCTGTTGGCAGTCTGATTGTTGGTGTTTCTGATAACACATTTTTCTTCTTATCCTAAATGATCCGCAGTCTGGTCTCCCATGTCGTGATATAAACTGATTTGCCCTTTGCAGCACTTTCATGCTTATATTCAGGCATTCGTTCAAAGTGACTTCCTAAGCACTTAGCAGGTGTCAGGCAGCACTCAAAATACCCTGAGAAAATTGGTAAAAATTTCATGAGCTTCCTTTATAGTCAGACCAACAGTAATATAGTCATACTTCATGATTCCAGCTTGCATCCTGATTTTAAAATGTAAAAACGTGTAGTAATGGGTGCCCAAGTTAGACAGGCCTGGCTTTTTTGCCCTACTGCTAAATAATTAAGTTGATTTTGTTTTGGGTTTAAATTTTTTCTTTGGACATTTAGTAAATAATTTAGTATGTTAAATGATAGTAAGTATTTATCAGGAAAGGTAGACAGTAAGAGGTAGGCTGTAAGTAAGGGCTTTGCAGTTTTCAGTACAATGGCTAAGGAAGGGTTCATTGAGGTGACTGTGTACTAAAGTAGAAAAAGGAAGCAAGACCTTGGGTATTAGAGGGACATACCAGCACAGACAGTATCTGACTTAGGTTGGCTCAGTTTATTATTTCTCAACTTTCTGATGGTGCCAAAACAAGCATTCAGTAGAAGCCATGCTTTGAGTTTTGAATTCCTCTTTCCTGGGCTAGAGTATAAAGTATGATACTCTTTTGAACTGCTAATAGACAAAGCGAGCCACAGCTCGAGTCAGCCACTCAAGCAGGGTCAGCCCCCGGTACACTACATTGGACGGTGCTGCTAAGTCAGGGTGTTTGGTCTGTTGTATTTAAGGCTTTACTCCTTACAGTGTTTCCCATTTACAAAAGTCTCCAGCACCTGTCGTAGGTCAGGAAGTGCCTGCCTTGTCTCAAACCTGCTCATTCTTCTCTGTGACGTGGTTCCCATCTGTAGAGCTTGTTCCAGCTCTTGAGTGCCTGTGTCAGTGGCAGTGTTGTTCTCTAATTGAGCTTTAGCCTTCTGTTTCTTAGCTGCTTAATTTTGTTTCTTGAGCTTTCCTATCTTAGCCTGTTCAAACAGGTGAGGACTACAGTGGTTTCTGTGTCTCTGTTACAGTTACATGAACTCAAGTTTTTTATGTTGAGCACACAGAAAGTGCCATGCTCTCTACAACACAGACTCATCTGGCTTCTCCTTTGTGCTATTTAACTCAGAGAACCAATTAACCTGTAGTTTGTGCTTCTAATTTCTCAGATCACAAATCTAGAAGCAAATGTAACTCCATTCTTTTCTTACTCTCTTTGATTAATATCACTAAACCCTTTGAACTCTGTCTCTACCATTTGTGGAAATCAAACCCGTTTTGTTACAGTAGTCTTAGGCTTCTAGTTGGTCAAATGTAAATATATTTCAAGAACATGAATAACATTCAAGTGTGAAACAGGCCAGAAGTCAGTGAAACAATGGGGACTGGGGTGCATGAGCAACTTCTGAGAGAGAAAGATGGGCTTCAGCTCCAGGTGTCTGTTGATACAGAGAAACTTGAATCTGGTCTTGCCTCATCAGAATTTTCAAAAGAAGCCTGAGGTCAAATTGTGTAAAATTTCCTGTTAATGAAGCGCTGGGCCAAGTAAGACTGAGCTGGATGCAGTCCTCAAGCTGCTTTGTAAAAGTGAAAGTTGGTTTTATATTCCGTAATTTATAATTAACTCTGTTCTATTGCTTTTCATCATATTGCCTGTTTTAATGGCACAGCTTTAAAGCTGCAGGTATTTCTCTGAGCTACAGGAATAGATGCCCTTACTTACTATAAACAGTAGAATCTGCAGTACCCGATGGAAACCACACAGTCACTGGAGGAGAGAGGCCGAAATACAAAGGACTGCCACAGTTAAAATTAAAATACAACCCCAAAATTGCACTTTATATTCCAGAGCATAGTGCAGACATTGCTAACACTGCTTGGTGATTGTTGACAGGTTTCCAGACTTTTCCTTCCAGTTCAGGGACAGAAAGCAGATCTGACCATAGCATTCTCGGTGCCTTTTATCCCTTACTAGCTATAGAGTATACTACTCTCAAATACTCTCAAATACTCGGCCCGTGAGTGACTTCTGTCTTAATCTATTTAGGCTACTATTAAAAAAAATACCTCAGACTGGGTAATTTATAAACAACAGAAATATATTTCTTGCAATCCTGATGGGTGGAAATTCTGAGATCTAGACCATGGATCCTTCCACTTGTTCTTGCATGGTGGGAAGTGCAGGGCACTCACATTTAATATCTTCATCAGAGCACTCAGCCAGTTAGAAGGGCCTTCATCATGACCTAGTGCCTCCCAGAGGGCTCACTTCTCAACTCAGGGCTAGATTTCAGCAGGAGCCTGAGAAAGGCAATGAAGATGATTATGAGAAACTCGGACTCCAGGAAAAGGCCGATTCAGTAAGTGATTAACAATAATAAAGAGCTACTATCAAGTGGATATTACTCCTTCCCCTTCCAGTCAGTCCTCTCCTTAGGCTGAGATGAGGGTTCTGGTCTCCTGTGCACATGTTCTGCACTGGCAGTGCCGCCATCCACAGAGCCAAAGACGGGTGTGCACCCTACCTTATTTTCATGTGCCTATTTCCACTTACACAAAAATAACTCGTTGTTTTTAACTTACTAGCATTATTTAACAATATCTCAGATATTTTATTTGGGGGGTGAGGGGAACAGGTTGAGACCCTGGTCTAGTCGAGGCTTACTCACTCTATGGTCCAGGCTGTCCTCAAATTTATGGCAATCTTTCTGCCTTAGGCTCTTAAGTGCTGAGATTACAGATGAGCCACCATGCCCTGCTCATAGATTTCCATTTTAGATTGCTATGGATAGCTTTATGCAGAACTTCCTTAGTACTAAAATTTCTTCCACAGTATTCTACATTGTCAGTACTACAATTTATTTATATTTATTATTTATTGTATTTATGATGATTTTGTTTTTTACCTTGTGGGTGGCCATTTATGGCTTTTGCAATTTTGCCATGTCATAAACAATGCTGGAGATACATTATACATTTGGGAGTGAGGGCTCCAATACTATAGATAAAGTCCAAGGTTTTGCACATACTAGGCAAGCGCTCGACCACTATGGCTTGTTTCCAGCATGAGTAGACTCCTATAGGTCTTATTTTTTTATTTTGCTTTTTTTTTTTTAAGATGAGTCTTGGTATATATCGTTTTCTGACCTCTAACTTACAGAGCTCTGCCTGCCTCTACCTCCCAAGTGCTAGAAGTAAAGGTGTGTGCCACCACACCCAACTTGGTTTTACTTTTTCTGCACCCCATCCCTCCCCGAACTGATAGTGATGACTAAAGATCAGCTTGAATTTCTGATCCTCCTGAAGTGCTGGGATTTATAGATACGTGCCACCATATCTGATTTATGAAGTGCTGATGATCAAACCCAAGGCTTTGTGCATGGTAGACCAACAAGCACACTACCAGCCCAACCATGTACCCTCCCCGAGCCTGAATATACTTGACAGAAATGCACATATACCTCTTTCTTATTCTTTGTATAATGACTACAGATTTTTGTAAAAAGCAACCCTGCAGTAGGTAGATGATAAAGAGTAACTGTTAGCAACTACTTCAATGACTTGTGGCAGTTATTGTTGTAAGAAGCCAGAAAAAGAAGAAAAGAAAGAAAATGTATGTGAGGAATGGAGGGCTCCCGTGTAACAGGCAGTTAGTATGCATTGTATTTGGGATCCACACGTCATACTTTTTATAGCATTTACATCTGAAAAACAAAACAACATTGTTGTGCACTACTATAAACCTTTCACTTGGGAGCCTAAGACAAGAGGATTTCCACAAGTTTAAGACCAGCCTGGGCATCATTGTAAGACCCTGTCTTGAAAGCCAAAAGAGAAAGACTGATGATATTCTGGTCTTAAGGTAGTTATATAATGCCCATGTCAGTGCTTTTAACATGGTAGTATTCTTTTGATCACAGTCTATATCCTCAGTATTTATGGTTGACATTTTGTCCAGTCCAGGTGTTTATTGCTGGACTAACAGGATGACTCAGTGGGATAAACGTACTTGCTGCACAAGTCTGACAACCTCAGTTCATTCCTCAGAAACCATGCTTTGACCTCCTCATGTCTGTCAAGGCATGCATAGTCATACACATAATACCACACTCACCAACAATAATAAATAAACTTTTAAAAAAGATGCTAATTGCTCCCTGGGTTAGTATTTGATGGAGAGTTTACATTCATGACGAGTGTCTCCAGTGTTATTCATTCATTTAATCTTCAGAACAACCCTGTAAATAAGCATATTTATAACCTAGAGATAAGAAATCAAGGAAGAGAAAATAAGGTGTTTAGATTCTGCCAACTAACAAATTGTGAATTGAGATTTTTAAACCAGTTTCTCTGACTCTAGAAACCTGTAAAGTTTTTTTTTCTTTACTCTATTAGTATCTAATCCATCTAAATAGATTACTTCATCAGTTACATCAGTTGCATAGCCTGGGTGCTTTCCAAAGAGTTGAACTAGTCTTTAGTGTGCTGTATATCAAGCTTTAGGAAAAAAATCCATATTACTTCGTCTTTTTCCTGTTGAACTGACTTGATATAAGGAAATACACAATAATAGAAAATCAGGTCATTAGAATATTTACACAGTGTTTTTTTATGGTTGGAAGTTCTCCCTTGTTGTCATTGTGTGTAGGATTTTGAAAGTGGTAGAGACACTTGCACCAGGATTCAGAATGTAGGCTCTTTAATGGTATGTTTCACATTCCACTACTTAGCAAGAAGCAAAATCATAGTTGATATTCATACATCTTAGTTCAGATGTCTGATTTTAAACTCCTCTTACAACAGCTACTATTGAACAAGTGATATATATATATATATTTGTATATAGCATCCATTTGAAATTTGACATGAATTTGAATGAATATGAATGAATATGAAAAATGGTCATTTATCATAAAGTCTTTCATGGGACTACATTGAGTAAAGAAACTGTCAGCTTACAAGACTGGAAAGTGCTTGAAGACAGGCCACAGTTTGAGTTACAAAGTGAATGGGTATCTGTTGTAACTCTTGCTATTCCTGAATGATGTTGAAAATATTTTAAATACTGATAATTATGTCTTCCTTCACTTTTTAGAATGATTGACTGGCTATCTTGGCCGTTGGCTCAGCATGTGGATACATGGGTAATTGCTCTCCTGAAAGGACTGGCAGCTGTTCAGAAGTTTACTATTTTGATTGACGTTACTTTGCTGAAAATAGAACTGGTAAGTTGAAGTGGATCAGCCCATCGGAATGCATAGACTTCTGAGTGTGTTCCTAGTTTGGGTTTTGTTTTAAATAGGTTTTAGGGGTCAAAAGCCAATGCCATGTAGGGAATAGTCAATTGAAATTAGTTTGCTGTGTTCAAATTTTTAATGTGAAAACAATCTACCTACTAGCTCTTTTTTGTTTGTTTTTCAGGGTTGTTGTTTGTTGTTGCTAATGGTGTTTGTTTTATCTTCTGCTTTTCTGAGACTGTCTCACTCCAGAGGTCAGACTGACATCTAACTCACAATCCTCCTGCTTTAGCCACACACATAGAAAGGTTATAGGAATTTAGCACCATGCTCGGCTCCCATGAGTCTTAAATCCAAATCATCAAACTTCTAGCACTGTGCTCCACCTAACTGCCTTCTGATCTAAGATTCTACTTCATGTCCTGCTAAACCCAGGACACAACTGATCACCACATTTTTTGTTTGAGGTTTTGGTTTTTCCACAGTGCTTAGGATTAAAGATAGGCAACTTCCACCCAATCCACATCCTGAGCCAAATCACTCCCTCATTAAAACACTTTCTTTACTTAATTCCCAGGACACTGTGCTCTCTGTCTCTTGCCTTTTGCTGGGGTATCAGTCTCCTTCTAAATTTCTTTGGCCCACTTTCTCTCTTAAGTCATGCTTAAGTGTTCTGCACCATGCAGTAATCATGGATGCTCTGTGGCTTTAAATAAGGTGTTCAACTTTTTGACTGACAAATTTATATTTAATTTCATTGTTTGCCCTTGAATTCCATATCCATTTTGTCTTAGCTACTGTTTTGTTGCTATGAAGAGACACCATAACCAAGAAAAACTCACATAAATGAAAGCACTTAAGTGAGGCTTGCTTATAGTTTCAGAGGGTTAGTTCATGGTCATCGTGGTGGGAAGCAAACAAGCATGGCTCTGGAGCAGTAGCTGAGAACTTAGTATCCTGATCTGCAGGCTGAGAGTGAGAGGAGAAAGGGAGAAACACTGGGCTTGGCATGGGCTTTGAAACCTCAGAGCCCACCCCCAGTAACATTCTTCCTCCAGCAAGGCCACACTTCGTAATCCTTCTGATCCTTCTCAAGCAGTTTCACTCCCTGGTGACTAAGCCTTTGGGGCCATTCTCATTCAAACCACCACACATTTATCAGTTATCTAAACTCAGATCTTTCTTTTTATTTTCTTCTTTTCTCTTTTTTGGGGGGAGGAGGTGTTTTGAAGTTAGGTTGGTTTTTTTTTTTTCCCGTAAAGTTTTTTATTGCTACAAGAGAAAGCTAAACTATATTCCAAAGACATAGGTGTTAACTAACTCAAGAAGTGAGTAGCTTATCTGTCTATACTCAGAAATATTAAACTTACCTTATCCACAGTCTGTGATTTTTTTTTTTTTCCTCCCAAACTGGTCCTCTGCCTCTTCATAGATCTCAAATAGCTTCCCCTCCCTTAGGCCCTAGTCTTTGATGCAACCCTTACCTCTCTTTATTGACTCAACCACTGTCCTACAAATTCTAACTGCCTTTAAATAATAACCTAGAACCCTACTACCAATTTTAGCCAATTACATCACTGTTCTACATTGGTCCAAAGTTGCCATCATCTCTTGTAGCACTGATTTCAGTAACTTCCTTGCTCCTGCTTTTGGTTCCTTATAAATGTTGCACAAGAGCTCCGTTTGCTGACCTTTTTTATCCCATTTCTCACTTCCAGTGACACTGTCCTTTGTGGCCTGGCACACCAATCTGGAGAACCTAGGGCCTTTGCAGTACTGTCTGCCCTGTTTTTAATGTTCTTGTCCTAAGTGTCTGTGAAGCTGATGTCCCTTCAGTTTACACTCAGATGTTGCCTTTTTCCTGGGGCATTTTTAACAGCCTCTATAAAATGACAAACTCCTTTGCTACCCAATGTTTGCTGGTCACTGTGTTCTACTTCGTATTTTTAGCATGTTTCGATGCTTATTACTTTTTGTTATCTAGTAAATGTCCTCTATCCATAAGTCATATATGACCTACAGTGCCTGGAACAGTGCCAAACAACATAGCTGTTCAGTAACTATTGATGGAGTAAACTGAATGAATAGTGACTCAATAGTAAATATGCTTATTTACATATTTGGACATATTTTCACTTAATGGGGAGTTTTGAGAATTGTTTAGATTGTTACATTCTCTTTGACTTCAGTCCTATTATACTTCCTTTCTCTCCCGCAAAGTCTAGTAATGTGTTAGGATAGGGCTTTCAAGGAAGAGGGAGACTCACATACATGACTGTCAGCTTGGGAAAGGCTAGTGTGGCACACAGGACTGTCAGCATAGGGAAAGCTGGTGTCACACACAGGGCTGTCAGCGTGGGAAGGCTAGTGCTTTTCCTGTGAACTCTGAGAATACTCTCTCATTCTGCAGGTTTTTAATCGACTTTGGTTTCCTCTTGTGAGACCTGGTGCTCTTGCAGTTCTCTCTCATATGCTGCTTAGTTTTCAGCATTCTCCAGAGGCATTCCATTTGGTAAGTATGATACAAGCTCTCTAAATACTTGTCAAAGTAGAGCTCACATTATAATGGAAAGGCTGTAGGTTAGCTTTATAGTATTTCATGTAACTATAAATTCTTAACAAATTGAGTTTGTAGAATATTCTGGCAAAGAGTATATTTTCACAAAGTTTTGTGCTTCACCAAAACTGCCCCACCCAGAGCCATCACCCGCAACTGGAAGTTGCTGCTGCACAGGGAGCTATCGATGCAGGGGGCCTTTACACACCAACTGCAGGATCAGTGTGGCGTCAATACTGGCGATGGCACAGGAGAGCATGGAGAGAGTTGAGTCCTCAGTCCACTAATGCCGTCTTTACAGTAGTCACAGTTCTGCCTGCCACCCGAAAGCATCTGCTTCCTGGTTTTGATCTGATTGCAGCTGTCCGTTACTGCAGATGAGGAGTGACAACATGTTTTGGGGATCTGTCCGCTTCAGGAGACTTTCCCGTGGTTATCTGCATTCTCCAAGGTCTGCTCGTGTTTTACAAGAGTACAAATTCAAAAGCAGCCTGCACCACCTTAGAGACCCTAATGCACCCTGACAAGTCAGAGAAGACATGCAGAAATGCAGACTTCATTCCTCCTGGCTGTGCTCAGCTAAGGAACCACAGCACCTCTGGCTCACACAGGCTGCCCAGGGCCTCTTCCTTTGGGGGAAGCCCACAAGCTTTGTTTTAGGGAAACTGTGGCAGTAGTCATGTCACTTGATATTGTGGATGAGTGCTTTCTGTAGTTTCTGTTCTCATTGTGGTGACATTGATGGTGAAACCATAAGATTCTTTGTTTATCAGATGAATCTCAATTTTGAGCTAATTTACTAGGCATATAAACAAAATGCTTCAGCAAAGAAAACATTTGTTCCTGTCTTCTGGCATTGTCATGTGCAGGCCCTCTGAGAAAAGGGTTCTTTTTGAAGTTCTGGGAAATGAACTATTGCACATTGCCTTCTACATTGACGCCATTCCTTAATCTCTAGTTAATCACTTAGGCCCTGCTATAAACCTACTTTTTTTTATTATTGTTGTTGTTTTGAGACGTAGTTTCTCTGTTTAACAACCCTGGCTGTCCTGGTTCAAACTCACAAAGATCCACCTGCCTCTGCCTCCCTAGTGGTGGGATTTAGAGGCGGTGTGCCACCACCACTCAGCCCTTTTCTTTTCCTTGCAATTTGTTTTAAAAAAAAAAAGTACTTTCTTACCTTTTGTATTTTTTTTCCTCTCCCATTTCTGAAAAAAGTGAGTTAAAATAACAAATTTTTTACTTTGAAATTTTAGCTTTTGAATTAAAAGTAGTTTTAAATCATCCTATTTAAGAAGTATCTATATTTGAAATTGAAAATTTTTGATGACTTAGTAAAACCTGAAAATCAAAACTTAATACTGTGTAAGTACTCTACAGAGTTCAACTACAAACAGCTTGGCGATCCAGTAAGAAGTGTGTGGTAGTTAAATTAGCAGTGAGTCCACATGATTCAGTGAAGGATTTTGTGCATGTGTGAATATGAGCAGTAGCCTGGGATGAGCATCATCAGTCATTTATTACATTTTGTGTTTAGAAATCCAAGCGTAAACCAAGAAGTTCTGATGTGTATTGTTAGAGGCTAAGCTGCTTCCATATACTTTTTATAAAAAGAAAAATTCATTTTAAACCGATCTGTGATACATAGTTAAAATAGAGAAACAAAAAAATGTAGTTAGTAATTAAACATGTCATATGTATTCCTCAAGTAGCAATTATGTTTAATGAGTGTTACAATAATTTTTAGAGGCATTTAATTTCACATGTTCAAAAAAAATCTAACTTTACGGGGGCTAGAGAGATGGCTAAGTGGTTAAGAACACTTGTTGAGCAACCCAGGTTTAGTTCCTAGCACCCATATAATGACTCACAAACATCTAGAACTCCTATTCCAGGGACTCTGATCTCCGGGGTGTGTACACATATGTACATACATGCAGGCAAAGCATTCATACACATACAATGAAATAGAAGGCAGCAGCCTGCTTGTGTAGCAGTCTGTAGGTGTGAAGGACTGTGTCTTATTTCCGCGCTAGTGACAAGAGTGACCATTTTGGAGGTTATAGGACACAAAACTGTAACCTAGTTTTAAAGACCAAATCTGTACTAGAAGAACTTTGGAAGAATTGAAACTATGAAATTCATTTTTAAAATTCTTTGCTTTCATCTTTCTCCCTTCACCTGTAAAGAAACACTTTAAAGTAATTTTGGATTTCAGACTAATTTTGCAAGAAAGTAACATATTTTTACAGACTTATCACTGAGATGTGTTTAAAAATGCAGAGATGAGGGCTAGGGATATTCTCAGTGATAGAGTACTCCTTTAAGATGCAGGAGTCCCTAGGAAATGCCCTTGTCATCAGAGAAATGCAAATCAAAACAGCTCTGAGATTCCATCTTACATCTGTAAGAATGGCCAAGATCAAAAACACTGATGACAACTTATGCTGGAGAGGTTGTCGGGGAAAGGGAATAATCCTGCACTGCTGGTGGGAATGCAAGCTGGTACAGCCCCTTTGGATGTCAGTGTGGCAATTTCTCAGAAAATTAGGAAACAACCTTCCTCAAGACCCAGCAATACCACTTTTTGGTGTATGTGGTATACCTTTGATTGAGCACTTTTAGGATGCTCAATCGTGTCACAAGGACATGTGCTCAGTTATGTTCATAGCAGCTTTGTTTGTCATAGCCAGAACCTGGAAACAAACTAAATGTCCCTCAATCAAAGAATGGATAAGAAAAATGTGGTACATTTACACAGTGGAGTACTACACAGCAGAAAAAAATAATGACATCTTGAATTTTGCAGGAAAATGGGTGGAGCTAGAAAACATTATTTTGAGTGAGGTAACCCAGACACAGTAAGACAGTTATCACATGTACTCACTCGTAGGTGGTTTTTAAACATAAAGCAAAGAAAGCCAGCTTACAAACGACAATCCCAGAGAACTTAGACCACAGTGCAGACACTAAGAGAGACTTACATAGATACAATCTATGTGGGAAGTATAAAAGGACAAGATCTCCTGAGTAAATTGGGAGCATGGGGACCTTGGGGGAGGAGTGAAGAGGAGGAGGAGTGAAGAGGAGGGAAAGGCAGGGAAGGGAGCAGAAAAAAATGTAGAGCTCAATAAATATCAATAAAAGATGCAGGAGTCCTTAGGTTATATCCTGGGGGTGTTGGGGAGGAAGGAGGCAGGGGATGTAAACATGATAGAAAAAGAACAAACTCACTAGAAGCTGGTAGCAGGCATGTTCAAGCTGTGTGCAGCCACATGTACCCAAGGAAAGTCGTAATCAGAGCTCAGCACAAAGTCATGATAAAACTCTAACTCCAGTTCCAGGGCATCTGACGCCTCTGGGCACCAGGCCAGGGATGCATGTGGTACATGAGCGTACATGCAGGGAAAATACCCAAATACATAAAATAAAACTTTTTTAGGAAGAGAGAGGGTGTTGGAATGAGAATAATTAGAATGTTTATATATGTGTTTGAATTGTCTTAAGAACAATTTCAGTTAATAAAAAGTTAAATTTTAAAATCATAAATTTAAAGCTAGTTTGACCTTATCAGTAACTGTTAATAGAATTGAATTTAAAGAAGGTGGCATAATGGCTACCCTATGATTTAATGCATTTAACAGAATAAATCCAGATAGTGCGGGACAGATATTCCTGTTGACTGAGGAATCTGACTGCTGACTGGGCCAGTACCAGATGTTCTTAGTACCGTCTGATGAGACAACCCTGATAGAACTCCGACTGCAGTTTCTCAGGAGTAGGGGCTGCAAAGGTCTTCTGAAGTGTACATACATAATATAAGATTGTGATTAATAATTAGTTTAAAAAATATTCTAAAAAAATAAAATGATGAATCATTTTATCACTTAAAAAAGTATTCCATCCTGATAATAGCCATTTCTGTAAAATAAAGTGTTTCTTTTTGATTATATTGTCTTAATCTTTGTATAAGTTGGCTTTTAGACTGATTTTAAATGAAAGATCATTATTGTACTGGTTATCAATATTAAATATTTTCAAGATTTTTATCAGTAATGAGCCTTTAAATTTTTCAATTTTTATTTCCAGTTTCATAAAAAATAGTCGATGTTTTTGATTGGCTTTATTTTTGGAGCAGCTGTTTGTAAATAAGGATTCTGTTTGAGGTATCATTCATGTGCTTATCCAACAATGTAATCCTGATATCTAACCACAATTTTAGTTAAATATGTAAGTTATTTCAGAGACTTTCTTGGAGTTCATACTCCTATGCAAAGTATATAATTTTTTCAATTGAAAAATTTAAACTCAAACTTACACTAGGTGGAGCTCTTTCACTGATTCCAGGTTGGGATTTTTAATGTTCTGTTAATCTGGTTGGGTTGTGGTTGTAACTCAATAGTAGAGCACTTGCCTGGCATAAACAAAGGTGAAGCTTGAGCTTTAGTACCCCAAAACAGTTTTAAAAAAATTTATCTAGTCAATAGAATAACTATAACATTTTTCAACTGATGGCATTTTTTAAATGCAACAATGACTGAAACTTGTATATTACAACTACTTGGTATTTTAGGGTGATTGTATACATACCATGACACACATTACAGAGGTCAAAAGACAATTTATGGAGGTTGGTTCTCTTTTTCTACCATGTGGGTTCTGGGGACAGAGCTCTGATCCTCAGGCTTGTTAGTAAACACCTTACCTGCAAAGGCAGCTCACAGGCCCTTTTTAAAATTATTTTATTTATGATATGTGTGTGTCTCTGTCTATATGTCTGTGTTATAGTGTGTGTGTCAAATTGTGAGGACAATTTGACAGTGAGTTCTCCCCTTCCACCGTGGAGTTTCCGTAGGTTGTTGGTTTTGATGGCATATACTTTACTGCTGAACTGAGGGAGAAGAGTATTAAATGAGATTACAGGAGCTGGAAAAATGGCTCAGCGGTTAACAGTGCTCGCCAGAGGACCTGAGTAGCTGACAACCACCTGTAACTCCAGCTCCAGGGGAGTTCTACCCATCCTCTGTTCTCTAGAGGCACCTACACACATGTGGGAGACATTGATTCCAGACACATACACATATAAATAAAAAATACATTTTTAACATGATTACAATCATGTGACTTCATTAAGAAAAACATTACTAAATGTACAGAAAAGTGTATGCTAATCACATAACAATTGCGTTCTGTCTGTAGGCTGGGGATGTGCTGTCAACTTGTGTGAACAGAATGCTTCTCTTCTCTCTTCAGATTGTTCCTCATGTAGTTAACTTGGTTCACTCCTTCAGAAGTGATGGCCTGCCTTCTAGCACAGCCTTCTTAGTGCAGGTAACGGAGTTGGTGCACTGTATGATGTATCACTACTCCGGATTTCCGGATCTCTACGAACCTATTCTGGAGGCAGTAAAGGTATGATGGCTTTGTACCAGTCCTGTGAGCCGCAGACACTGTAACAAACCAGTCTGGCAAAATGTATTCTTTTACATAATGAGCTGCTTTTAAGGTGGTCGTTTCACTTGGGCAGCCTTGATACAGGGCAGAGAGGCTTGGTCCTGCCTTAACTTGGTATACCAGACATGGTTGACTCCCCAAGAGAGGGCATGGGGAAAGGTGGAGGGTGGGAGGAGAGGAAGGAGTGGAAACTAGGAACTAGAGCTAGTATATAAAATGAAAAAAAAATGAATTAGAAAAAAAAGATGATTTCATTCTCTGTTCTTTTTTGATACCACCATTCTAAATCAGTCGGCACATTTCTTAGCTCTGTGGTGCCATCAAGTAAAATATGTTACTTTAAATTTATAAGAGCTGTTAAAGAAATTGGCTAGTGACAGTATGTTACATTGAATGCATGCAGACATCAGTTTTGCATCTCAGTATCAGAAATGTTGAACAGTTAAATCGATCTTGGAATCAAGGAAATACTTGACTGGCTCCCTCCCTATTTTGGTTTTCTTTTGTGTTGTAGACTTAGTGAATGTCTATATTTTTTAGAATTGTTACTTAAATTATTTGTTTACCTTGTTTTTCAAGTTCAGTAAATGGCAGGTTCAAAAAAGTGTTGCTTCTGTCTGTATTGAGGAATGGTTGACTGGAAAATCAGTATCGTCAAAGAATTGGAAAGCTTAATTCAGCCAGGCTTAATCAGAAGTTACTACATACCAATTCTAATCATGATATTAATGTTGGAAATACAATATACAGGCCACATTGCCTTACTACCCATATGTATAAGGGAAATTAAGAATGTTTTTATATCCAACTAATTCAGACTAAGGACTGAGTCTAAAACACAGTGCTATTAGGCCTCTGTGGTGCTGGTATGACCCTGCCCTTTCCGAAGTAGATTACGTACGGAAGTTTTGCCACAGACTTGATAGCTTATTACTATGTGCCCTTATTGCTGCCATTCTGTTGACAGACTCTTCAGTTTTCCAGTACATCTGGAGCTCTCGGGCTAAGGAAAATATTTCTACCAGCTGCCAACAGCCAAAAGAAAAGGGTGGGGAGGGGCGTCTTAAAATACAATGTCAAAGTGTTAGATTTCTGTAGTGTGAGCATTAGATGGCAATCTCAGTCTAGAAAAGCTAATCTTTTAAGCATAAGTGACTTTTCCAGTGTTCCCTATTGCCCATTGCTCTACTTGGCTGTGAAGTCATTGACACTTCAATTTCTATTTCATTTTCTGCTTACTACATTATTTACTTTCTTACTAAGAAAGAAGACTGTGTCATAGTGTTTTCCTTTTTTTTAATTTTTTGTTTTGTTTTTGTTTTTCAAAACGGGGTTTCTCTGTGTAGACCTGGCTGTCCTGGAACTCACTCTGTAGACCAGTCTGGCCTCGAACTCAGAGATCTGCCTGCCTCTGCATCCCGAATGCTGGGATTAAAGGTGTGCGGTACTACTTGGCCGTAGTGGTGATTTTCTAGAAGGCAAAACATGAGATTTGAGTTTTACTTTTCAGTCTGAGGTCCTTACACTAACCTGACTTGTCATTCCTACTCTAGGCCATCATTTCTAGAGTTAGTCCTGAGTACTTCTGAGTGAGCAGTGAACCAGAATTTGAATATGAGTAATTGACATATGATTTGAATTTCTTGTTCCTTCAACTTTAAAATATTTTAAGACAAGCATGTTATCTCATGTCCATGATCTCTACACTTGGGATACTGAGGCAAGAGGATTATTGTGAGTTCAAGCCAAGCTTGGGCTACAGGTTCAGATTTTGTCTCAAAAAATAGACAAATAAACCTCCTTAAGATTTTAAGATACATTTGTTTCCCATGTCTCTTACTTTTCTGCTTGTGATGAGCTTAGTGTCAAGAAGCCAGATTCTTTTGACTTTCAGTCTGAGGGCCCTACTTCATCACTGTAGGATCATGGTAGCAAGAGCAGCTCTCAGCTATAATTCGAGAATCATCCACCCCTAGAAGAGTAAGAAGCAGAGAAAGGTGAATATCAGCACTCAGCTAGCTTTTTCCTTTTCCTTTTGTCTTATTTAGTCCTGGGCCCCAGCCTATGGGACAGCATAGCCCACATTCAGAGTGAGTCTGTCCCCTCAATTAAGCCAGTCTACACCATCACGTACATACCCAGAAGTGTACCTGATTAACTCCTTCTTGTTTTTAATTCAGTCAAGCTGACCATCAAAATTAGCTGCCATCCGAAATATTTAATTTTTTTAGGACTGACCAAATGCTGCCAGTAATATACAAAATGAGTGAGAGCAAAAAAAGCTTAAATGTCAGTGGGGAAAATCTTTATTATGGTATTGGCTTGTTAATTTGAAAAATAACTTTTACTTTACTTTTAAACTTACTTTTTCATTTTTATTACAACCTAGGATTTTCCTAAACCCAGTGAAGAGAAGATTAAGTTGATTCTCAATCAAAGTGCCTGGACTTCTCAATCCAATGCTTTGGCGTCTTGCTTGTCTAGACTTTCTGGAAAATCTGAAACTGGGAAAACTGGTCTTATTAACCTGGGAAACACATGTTACATGAACAGTGTTTTACAAGCATTGTTTATGGCTACAGAGTAAGTTTACTTGTGAGTGTTCTGACTTAACTAGAAATGAATACATGCTGAGAAGACAAGAATCACCCCTCCCATGGAAGCGACATGAATGTTGACATTGCCTGTAAAAAGACTTTCTCTGTCCTAATAGCCAGCTCCCAAATAATGCCACAGAGACCTCTTATTAATTATGAAAGCACACCTATAGCTTAGGTTTTTGTAAACGGAGGTTTTTTTCTGCCCCACCCAGTTCCACAGCCACTTTTAAAATAATCGCTCAGAGGCTTAATATTAATTAAAGCCATTTGGTCTATTGCTCAGGCCAATTTTTGCAAGAAGAAAACAAACTCCAAATAGATTGTCTTCAGTGCCCATCCTCCTCTCAGAAGTAGATCAGTGCTTCCAGGAGCAGATGTGTCTCACACCAAAAGAATTCTAAGTTATTAAAACAGTAAATGCATATTCTATAGATCTTTGAAGTGTTTGAAGATGCCTGTCTATCTAAAATATATCTGTCTATCTAGAAAACCTAACTAACATGACCTTAAGTTTGACTATTACAGATGACTATTATAAATCTGTATTTCATTTTTAATGGTACTGTATAAACACAATATCTTAAACAAGAGTAGAAGTATACATACAATATAAAAATTAATCTTAAATTTTTATCAATAAACTAAAATCCATACAAATGTAAATTTTTTCCAAGATTAATAGTTGTTTATTAAAGTAGGTTTAATAATTACCCTTTTTTCCCCGTTTCTATGTCACAACTTTCTTTCTTTAGAAAGAAATTTACTTTGATCAATAACAATCAACCCTCTTTAAATGGAAACAAACATTTATAAACAATATTTTGAGAATTTTGGAGTAGGTCTCTAGACTACCTCCTGCTGATTGGTAGGTGCTGGTGATCTTGAGGGACCCTGAGAAAATTTAGAATTATGGATAAATCTTGGCGGTAGTCTCTGAGGCAACATAGTCTCGGCCAGTTTCCTTGAAGCTGTTCTGGATGTTGAATCCCCTGGGCCATCACTCCCCTCAGAGAACTCTCAGGGACTCTTCCTTGATCAAACCATATTAACCCGGAAGTAATCCATCTCGTCTTCTGTGGAAGCAAAAACAACACCTCTTTTCCAAAGCTACTTATCCCAGACCCAAATTCTGAAGTCAAGAGACGGTTAAAATATATATGTTGGTTTAATTTAGCAGCCCCCAAAATCAAATGTTTCTCAGCAGTTAGCTCATTAACACTTTAAAAAAACAAAGAAAACACAATAATACACATAATCAGACTCTGTATTTTCCATTTTACATGGCTTATTATAAATTTTATTACTCTATTCCTTTTTTAAAGACCTCATTTTATTATCTTTAAATATCTTTTAATCTATGACTGTGTCTATCCTTTCTTCTCTCCCAATCCTAAGCACCTTTATCAAATACACTGTGACCCATTTAGAGGCTTTCTGCCTAAATTTGGCCTTACTGTATATATGTGTTATTTTGATCACATGAGACAGATCATAAAAGTACGGTGTTAGCTGTCTGTACTGCTTATCTTAGTGAGTGATGCTGGCACATGGCAGTCGGGACCATCCCCTCTGTTCCAGTGAGACTCACTGCCCCAACTCTGGGCAGCAGTACTAAGTAGCGTGCAGCTGTGTTCTTACACCCACACTGTGCTCTCAAGCTCTCAGTGCTGGGAGAAGCCTCTTCACTATGCGGCCCATGAGAGACTGGGAGTCCGCCATGTTGCAGCTGAGGCCCACTGTGGCCAGGGGATGCAGTTCTTTACCTAAGCCCAGAATGAGAGACATGAACTATGAAGTTGCTCGTGGCTCCATTTTTATATGTCTAGAACCCTTTTTTAAACTTTGTTAGGTCTTATATAGAAATTCCAGCTCCGTGTTGAAGCAATATATGTAAACAGAGGCTTTTTTTTCCCTCACCCAGTTTATTTTAAAACTCTAAGAGGCTCAATATTAATTATAAACTGTTTGGCCTATTGATCAGGCTTATTACTAACTAGCTCTTATAACTTAAATTAACCCATTTCTATTAATCTATATGTTGCCACAGGACTTCATGGTGTTACCTGTTTTCTAGTATTTCTTGTTGTTCCAGAGCTCTCTGGCATCTGCCCTGACTCTGCCCTTCTTCTCCATGTATCTTTGCTTGGATTTCCCACCTGGCTCTATCCTGCCTTGCTATAGACCAAAGCAGCTTCTTTTTTAACCAATAGTAATAAAACATTCACACTATACAGAGGGGTTATCCCACAACACTTGTTCCTAACTAGCTCTTAAAACATAAATTAATCCATTTATATTAATCTACATTCTATCACCTCTCTTCAATCTTGCACCTCCTGTTTCCTCTCTGTGTCTCCTGGCTCTGCTTCCCTGCCATGATGGTGGTTACTGATCAGATGTGTAAAAGAGGCATGCTCCTTTACATTCCTGAATTTACTTTCAAATCAATTTTCTTTTGTAAGCAGGAAATCTGAAGTCAGTTTGTTGTTAGCTGAGTGGCATCCTTGTGCTGGAGGAGTAGCTCAGATACAGCTCGAGTACCTGCCTTGGCTGCATGAATCCCAATGTTGATCCCTAGCACCTCATAAAGTCAAGCTTGGTGTTGCACATCTGTAATCCCAACATGTGGGAGGTGGAGGCACGAGGAGCATACATTCTTGGTGGTCCTCATCTATGTGTTGTGTCCAAGGCTAACCTGGACTACATGAGGCTCTATCTCAAAAAAATAAAATAAAAAATACTGCCCTTGCAGGTACAACATTATAGTCAACTTTTCCTTAAAAAAAAAAAAAAATGTATTTTTCTCTTAGTGCCAATAGAGTTGAGCTGACTCCAAGATGGGAGATGTTAGCACCTACCTGGAGGCATCAGGCTCTTAGGGTGCTTAGCTTTGGGTTTCTGTGTTTGTCCCTGATTATAAGAATTCAGTAGGGTTTCATTAGGTTTTGTTGGTTGGTTTGTATTTGGCAACTTTTGTTGTTTTAAATAAAGGTGTGTACTCTTAGACACTGGAGGCATTAGATCTAAGACTGAAGAGTCCACATCTCACCACTAGAGGTCACCTTGCCAGCCATCTCATATGATGCAAAGTAGGGACCAAAAGCAACTGTAACTAGAAAGCATTGTGGTGGTGACCAATAATGATATCTCAGAACAGAACAGGAAGAACTCTTAAGGAATACATGAATTCTTATTCATGGTTTTAAAAACGTACCCTCAATAAAAACCAAGTGTATACATTCTCAAAAAAAAATATCTCAGCTATATGGATTGCTCCAGATTATTTTTCTATAATTAATCTAATACAAAAACCAGTTACATATGATTAGTATGTGTCCACACACATGTTGAAAGAATCCTGTTGAATTTTAGCACTTAAGAACTTTTCCATGTGAAAGCAATACAGATCTGTTACTCTGAGTGAGTAGGACATAGTTTTTATTTTTATTTTTTTGCTTTAAATTTATTTGTTAGTGTGGGATGGGAAGATGCATGCATGTCATGACATACAGGTAGAAACCAGAAGAAGTCCACTCTGTCCTTCCACCTTTACGTGGGTTCCATGACTAGAACTCAGATCTCCAGACTTGTGTGGCAAGAATACCTTCCCACTGGACCATCTTACTAACCTGACTTCCCCTTACCTATACTTTGCTGACCATCAGGTAGTTTGTTCATAGCAGACATTGCTCTAACCATGTGCAGATAAGGTTTTCTTTGACTGAAACATGCCAAATTACTCTCCCTTAAACACTGTAGGGGTCGAATGAGGGTTGTTCATCCTGCAGATGCATGTGGAGTCCAGATGTCTCCTTAATTGCTTCTTCACCTCATGGCACTCATGAAGCCTGGGGCTCCCTGCTGCAGCTGTACTGGCTGGCCAGCAGGCTCCCAGAATCCGCTTGTCTTTAGCCCACAGTGTTGGGTTATGGGAGAGAAGCATCTTGCCCATCTTTCACATGAGAGCTGCAGATGTGAGCTTAGGTCCTCACCTTTCCCTCTGGTCATCTCCCCAGCCAAATTGGACCTTATGGACCAGTATATGATTGTACCTGTGACCTTAAACCTCTGACAGCACTTGACTTAATTGGTGTTAAATTTTTCACAATTGGGCAAATGTTATTCTTGTTTTCTTATTTTTAGAAAAGATAGGGTCTTGCCTAGCCTGACCTCAAACTCATGATCCTCCCGCATCAGACTCTGAGGATTACAGACTACATGTGCACAGCCTGCTCACAGTTAGTTAGTTCTTGTGTTTTTATGTGAACATTGCTGACCATTGTGGAATTTTCCCCTTTACTCAGAGCAAAATGAAATGAATGAGCTATTATTTTCTTTGTGTGTGTTTCTGTTGATGTTTTGTTTTCTTCATGTCAATTTGTATAAACTCGGATTGATAATCCTGTGGTGTTTGCTTTCTTCCAGTCATACAATTCAAATTTGTGGTATTTTGTTATATATTTTTTTAATTTTTGTATTGTCTAGAGTTTAGGCCCACACCAAAAAAAAAAAATCCCTTTTTACTTTGAAGTAATTTTTTTTGATGTTTAACCAATTATTTCTATATTATTTTGGGGATAATTTGTCCCTTTTTGTGTGTTTCTTCTTTTATTTGTTTTATTTGTTTGAGTAAACTCACCCTCTCCCTCCCTTCTTCCAGTGTTAGCCTGGAACTCACTTGGTAGCCAGACTAGCTTAAACTCATATTTCCCCTTTGCCTACTGAGTGATGGTTTACAGGTATATGCCACCAAACCTGGCTTGCATCATACTTCTTTTATATTTAAGATTTACTTTTATTAAAAAGAAGAAGAAGAAGAGGAAGAAGAAGAAGAGCCAGGCTGTGCACACCTTTAATCCCAACACTCAGGAGGCAGAAGCAGGGGGAATCTCTCTGAGTTCAGGAGGTCCAGCCTGGTCTACAAAGAAAATTGTAGAGCAGCTTGGGCTACACAGAGAAACCCTGTCTCGAAATAGCATATAGTCCATCCATTTATTGTCCTCCTTCACGACAGTACATGTGTATTAGTAAATGTTAGCTAAAGGCCACCCTGTGAGTCAGGTAACTGAGGATAATAATTCCCAAACCAGTTTCTTTTTAGCTTTTCTTGTAAAAAGTGTGTGTGTATATATATAACATATTTTGTTCTTTTTCAGTTTCAGAAGACAAGTGTTATCTTTAAATCTAAATGGGTGTAATTCTTTAATGAAAAAATTGCAACATCTTTTTGCCTTTTTGGCTCATACACAAGTGAGTATCTGTAATATGTGCATATTAACTCCATGATAGTGTTCTTTAAACTATACACTACAATGTCTTTTGAACTGCTGGAATTATGTATCATGTCTTCCCCAGGGTAAGACATCTGCCAGTCCTCTAAGTTAGTCATCTGCCTAAACACCGAGCACACTTGTCTCATCTGCTTCCCATCCCTGCGGATACATTGTTCTAAAACCTACTATACAGAAAGTCTAATTTGCTGTCACTAAGCAGTCTTCTTCATGAGGAAAGAATTTTAAAGCTAAGCTCAGAAGGCTGAGGCAGGCCTGCAGTGAGCTCAGACTTAATATTGACATAATAATGAACAATTAAAATAATTTTGTAGTCTAGACTTTTTTTTCTTTTTTGGTTTTTCAAGACAGGGTTTCTCTGTATAGTTTGAGGTTAGTCTTGAACTCTTGTTCATCTGCCTGCCTCTGCCTCTAAAGGTATGCACCAGTCACCATGCCCAGCTTTTTTCTATTTTCTTTTATGTACCTTTCATTGTAATTTCAGATCTTTATAAATATTATTCATCTCGTAAGTCCTTGCATTAAAACTCTGTGGTGACCTTTTATATCCACAAATTAATTCAGAGAAATCAGCTTGAGGCAGTGACTACAGGTAGTTAGAGCTGGAGGAGAGCAGGAGTAACACTTGATAGGATTGAGTTCATGGCAATGCTGTGTGTCCCGCATGCAAGCTAAGAAATATCTCAGGGATAATTTGCTTTGAGACAGGATCACGTGTGATACAAGCTAGCCTCAAACTATGTAACCAAGGCTGGCTTTGAATTCCCGATTCTCCTGCCTCTGCCTCTTAAGTGCCAGGAATACAGATAAAATATTTTTAAATGGGAAAAATAAAAACAGGATCAAGAAGTGACAGCCATGACTTTAGAATTGTTAATATACTCATATGTTGTTTATCTGAGAGAAATATGTTAACAAATTGACATTAGGACCCAGGGAATTAAGACTACCTCTTGGCCAGGTGTGGCGGCACACCCCTGTAATCAAGTATTCAAGAGGTGGGGCAAGAGGATCAGACGGGGGACAAAAGCGGTGCTAAATCGTAACCAAAACAAAAGCCTCTCTCCTCTCCTATGTCTTCTAGAAATTTAGTCATTTAATCATTAGTCTATATTTATTTTATACATAAACATGTATGTGTATTTATGCAGATATGTATACTTTATTTACTTATTAAACCAGAGCTATTAGGGAAGAAAACCTTAGAAGGTTTCCCTGCTCTCAAGAACGAAAGAGAAGGTTCATGGTGGAGGTGGTGGCACTCAGGAGGCAGAGGCAGGAGGATCTGTAATCTGTTGATAAAAATATGTGTCCAATTGACTGAGAAAAATGAACTTAACTTGAAGTTGGCCCCCAGCTAGGATGCTGACCTTCTGAGAGCTGTGAAACAACTCTAACACATAGCATTCTCCTGGACTGAGAAGGCACTATTGCTTATGCCACAGTATTTAAGATATTGAGAGAATTCCAGGTATTCACATCATAGTCGGGTCTTTTCATATGTCTGTGCAGTTCCTTTTTGTGAAAACATCTGGGATTTGAACCTGATGGCCCCAGAATCCATTTCAACTGCCTTTGTACTTCTGGGTGGGAGGGGATTATCAGGGTTCTAACAACTATTCCAAATGCTCCCATTTCACACGTGTATGACTTACACCAGACAGAAAATTTCAATAAAGTAGATTCAGGTAGCTCCTAATGCTCTGTCACTAGACACACACACACACACACACACACACAAACACACACCACTCATTAGCATCATTCTCACACTCAGCTTTTCAAAAGAAATTAGGGACTCAAACACATGTGTGTCGTGGAGGGACAAATGCCAGAGACAGAATGTTGAGTTAGACACATCCGAGACCTGATGTAATCACCCTGCTGTCCACTTGTCTGAGCTAGTCCCTCAGCTTTTCTGGATGTCAGTTCTCTGCAGAATTCATTTGTGGCTAAAAGTTGCTTAACGTAAAAGTTTCACTGCCTCTGAGTTTGTACCCATGCCTGGCGCGTCTCAGTGGAAATGGAGTGCTGTAGAGTTGTAAGCCATCTTTATTAAGGGTCATGTTGCAGGGTCAGTTACTGGTATGCTGTAAGAGTCACTGTCTTACATTTTCCTTTCTGCTGTCAAGAGGGAAGCATATGCACCTCGGATATTCTTTGAGGCTTCCAGACCTCCGTGGTTTACTCCCAGGTCGCAGCAAGACTGCTCTGAGTACCTCAGATTTCTGCTGGACAGGTACAGAGTATTTTAAATTTCATTTAAACTGTGTCTTCTCTTAGTATTTTACTGCCACTTAATGCTGATTTTAGCTTTAAAGCACACTTTTTCAGAATTGATCTTTAAAATACCCTTGTGTTAACTGTGTGTTTTTAAGGTTTTTCTTTGTTTTTAATTTGGTTTTTGTTTTGGATGCTTTAACTTTAAAGTACCTGTTCAAACATAGCAGAAGATTCATAAGGGACCCTACAAAATCTGTTGAGTCCTCCCATTTTTTTCACTACATATCTATGGGAGCTCAGCTTTTCTTCACATATTTCATCTTTAAGAAGCAGATATCAGTAAGAAAGGCTGCAGTACAGATACCAATATCCAGCTGTCTTCTATGAAGCCAGATGCTTAGAATACTTACAGAGTGTGAAGGAGTGCCATTCATTTAAAAATGCTGCATATTGATATGTAATGGATTCATGTTTAAATGTTGTTTTATATATTATTCTGTTTTTATATACTATGTATATACACACATACACACACATTTAACCAACACACACACACACACACACACATATATATATATATACTTTTCTATATATAGTATATAATATATAAAGTATATATTCTACTTTTCTAACACTTGATAAAATACCATGGCCAAAATCAACTTTAAGGGAAAAGGTAATTTTGGCTCACAATTGCAGAGAACAGACAGTCTGTCAGGGCAGAGAAGGTATGGCAGCAGGAATTTAAGGTCGGCCTGGCAGTTGGGGAGCAGAGCAAACACAGGAGGTGGGGCCAGGCTAGAAAGACTTCAAAGCCTCCCTCAGCAATGTACTCCAGCAAGGAAGGCTACACCTCCTAAATGTTTCATGACCTTCCAGAACAGTGCCAACTTGGGACGCCGGTTCCATAGGGTTTGTTTTGGTTTTGGTTTTTTTAATGACTATAAAGGGACCCTGAGACCAAAACCTTTTAAGAGCCAGTTTATAAGGGTTTGGTAAGTTATAGTGTCTTTTTACCACTTACTAATAAAACATTTTATCAGTGCATTTCTCTGTCTTTGTTCCTTTCTGTAGTATGACTGACTAGTAAAGTTAGCTGGGCTCAGCCTGCACAGCCTGCCTTCTTTCCTACAGTCAGTGGTTTCTTGGTGCTAGGCTGCCAAGACATCAGGCACATGGAGAGGTGTGTGAGACAGCGCAGCAGCCATTGTGGTTGACTCCAGTGGGACGTGGGCTGTACAACAGCAGTGCAGGAGCAGCAAAGTGAACGTAGAGTTCTGGCTAGTCCTCTAAGGCTTTCCTGAACTCTACCATTCATACTCTTGATGAAAAGAGGAGAAAAAACTTTAAATTAAGCTTTTTACTGGATTAAATTAACATATTTCTATAAGTCATCAAGATCTCAAAATATAAGTAGCATTAAACTTGGCTATGTGGTGATGTACCCTCCTGCAGGCTCCATGAAGAAGAAAAGATCTTACGCGTTCAGTCCTCGCATGAACCTTCAGAAGGCCCGGCCTGTGCTGACACTTCTTTACAGGAAGTGTCCAGTAAGGCAGCTGCAGCCACGGGGTCTCCTGGCACCAGTGCCAGTGAGGAGAAGACTTTAGTAGAGAGGATGTTTGGAGGGAAGCTGCGGACCCATGTCTGCTGCCTGAACTGCAGGAGCACCTCACAGAAGCTGGAGGCCTTCACAGACCTCTCGCTGGCCTTTCGCCCTGCCCCTTCTGTGGAAGACTTGTCTTTTCAAAATCCAGCTTCCTTACCCAGTGCACAAGATGATGGCCTAATGCAAACCAGTGTGGCTGACCCGGAGGAAGAGCCAATAGTTTATAACCCAGCAACAGCAGCTTTCGTCTGCGACTCGATTGTGAATGAGAGAATATTAGGCAGTCCTCCTGTTGAATTTCATTGTGCAGAAAACAATTCTGTCCCTAGTGAGTCTACAAAGATTCTCATCAGTAAGGATGTGCCTCAGAATCCAGGAGGTGAAGCCACACCTTCGGTAACTGACTTACTAAACTATTTTCTGGCTCCAGAGATTCTGACTGGTGACAACCAATACTATTGTGAAAACTGTGCCTCTCTGCAGAATGCTGAGAAAACTATGCAAATCACGGAGGAGCCCGAGTACCTTATTCTTACCCTCCTGAGGTTCTCGTATGACCAGAAGTACCATGTGAGAAGGAAAATCCTAGACAATGTGTCACTGCCACTGGTTTTGGAGTTGCCAGTTAGAAGAACTGCTTCCTTCTCTTCCTTGGCGGAAAGTTGGTCTGTAGATGTTGACTTCACTGATATTAATGAGAACCTAGCTAAAAAACTAAAGCCTTCTGCAACTGAAGAAGCTTTCTGCCCCACACTAGTACCCTACTTATTAAGTTCTGTTGTTGTGCACTCTGGGGTGTCCTCTGAAAGTGGACATTACTATTCTTATGCCAGAAACATCACAGGTACAGAGTCTTCATACCAGATGTGCCCCGAGTCTGAACATCTGGCATTAGCCCCCTCCCAGAGTTGTTTACTAAGGGGAGAAAGCCCCAGTGCAGTCATTGAACAGGACTTGGAAAATAAGGAAATGTCACAAGAGTGGTTTTTATTTAATGACAGCAGGGTGACATTTACTTCGTTTCAGTCAGTCCAGAAAATCACAAGTAGGTTTCCAAAAGACACAGCTTACGTGCTTTTGTACAAAAAACAGAACAGTGCTAATGGCGTACGCGGTGACAATCCAGCCAGTGGTGTCTGGGTCAATGGAGACCCACCACTGCAGAAAGAGCTAATGGACGCCATAACAAAGGACAACAAACTGTATCTACAGGTGAGTTGCAAATATAAGTGTCATTTCTGGGCAGTATAAATAATAGGAAGTTAGTCTGATGCTCTAATTTTAAACTGAACACATTTTTCAGGGATACTGAAGCTTAAATCTGGATTTATATATTTAAACTTATTGTAAATGTAGTGTGAAAGGTGCCAGTTATATGTAATATAGAAAACTGTTTGACTTCAGAACTCTGTCTTGGTTGTTTATAGCTGCAAAAGATGTCCTTTTAATTAGAAAAGATTATAAAATCATGCCACACAGAAACAGTTTAATGGAGTGTAAATGTCCTGCTTCCCTGTCCCTGAGTTCCACCACAGGGAAAACACGTGCTAACTTGTTTCTGTTTTATTTACTGTGGGAAGTGGTGCACACATGGAAGTCAGGGACAGCTCTGTAGAGCCAGTTATCTCCTTCTCCCTCTCATGGGGTCTGCTGAACTCAGACCTCAGGCCTGCAGAACAGGCACTCGGAATCACCTCACCATCCCACAGCTCAGTTTGATGCCAGTTCCTGCAGGCTCTTTCCTGTAGTGTTTTAAGGAACATTTATTTGCATTCAGATGGTTCAGATGAACTAAAATGAGCATGTGAAGGGTATCTGTTCTTCAGGGGTCTGCCACAGAGCCAAGGGCTGATAGAGCATGTACTGGGAAGTAGAAGCTGTGGACTAAACATTTAATGAGAGATCAATTCATCTATGAATATTTTTTAAGAAACTATTTCCTTTGTTTGTGAAATTTTCAAACTTGTGTCAGCAAAAAGAGCCAGCAGAAGCTAGGAGTGGTGGTGATTTTCATATGCCTGCAATCCAGCACTAAGGAACTGCAGGCAGGAAGATTGCAAGTTGGAGGCAGGCATATGCCACATAAAGAAACCAGTCCCCAAAACAAACAAAAAAAAAGGATCAGCAGTAATTCACAGATGAAATTACAGGAATAATAAGTGGCTAGTTCAAATAATTCTATGAGCTTAAAGGTAACTTTTTTAGAGTTTTCAGTTTTGAGTTCACAGAACCCATAAAATATTAGAAGGGAATAAATGAGCCATTAACAGATTTTTATGGAAAATTTTTTTCAGAGGCTTTCAAATTTACTGAGCTATAAAATATCCAAAGGATGATACATGATAAATTTTAGAGGGGTATGGCAATGTTTTAGAGTGTTGCAAGCATTAATTAATTGACTTTACAAAATAATTAGAATTTTAGAATTGGACTGATTACCATTAATACCCATTCTCGTGACTTCATATCCAGGTAAAAAAGCAGGATATGTCCATCTCCTTGGCCTTTTGTCACTTGACGTGGAGGTCGAAGAGGACAAAGAAGAGCAGAGGGTTCCGTTGCAATAGAAAAATCTACAGCACAGACTGTACACTAGTGCAAGGCCCACTACACCCTTCCCTCGTAAACAGATTATCAGTGTTACGATGTTTATCCATCGTTGAACTGGCAAGCGTGCTTTATGGCCACAGCTGCTCCTACTTGGAATGCAGTCCAGATCCTTGTGTTCTGGCTTACCCATTCCCTTGGCCACATGGCATTTGAGCATGAGTGGCCCTTCTTTTCCCTGTTCTTTTAGGGTCCAGTTTTACACCCTGCCCGATGACTCTGCCATTATCTATTCACAATTGCTCTTTGTAAAACTGAATAATGACCTTTTTACAATTTTTTAATTTTTTTGCATGAGTGTATACATATATATATATATACACACATACACACATACATATATATACAACGTGTGTGTTGTTAACATGTGGAAATGAGAGCAGTTTATGGGAGTCATCATCACTTTGCCATGTGGGTTCCAGAAATACTCCAGTCGCCAGGCCAGCTCGCCTTCCCAGTAACTTCTGTTCTAAAATAAGAGTATTAGGATTTATTCAGCATCTAATATGCACTTGGCACATAGACAGATATCTCTGATTTCCTGGTAAGCACTCTATTAAACTAGTAGGAAAGAGTCCTAAGTCCCACTGTAAGAAGATAGCTTCATTTTACTTATCAGTGTTTCTTGAGATTTGCCTGACTCTTTAAGTAGTCTAAGAGCGGTAGGGAAACCCGTGCCTTTAGTGTTGCGCTCAGACACTTCCAAATGCATCATAGCTGTTAAAGACTGCCATCGGATTGGGAAGTTTCCCAGGAGTGTCCCCTTCCTTAGTAGTTAGGTGAAATAAATAGTGAGCAGTGACTTTCGGGGTCTGTCACTACAGCTCCACGAGGAATTTGCCCTCTGCCTTGTCTCCTCCAAAGGTGGTTGTGTACTTTGTTTGTGTGCCTAAGTGGTAACTACTTAAAAAAAAATGTCAGCTTTTATTTTATCATATTTTATTTTTGATTTTTTGAGACAGGGTTTCTCTGTGTAGCCTTCGCTGTCCTGGAACCCTCTGTAGACCAGGCTGGCCTAGAGCTCAGAGGTCTACCTGCCTCTGCTTCCCTAGTACTGGGATTAAAGGTGTGTGACACTATGCCTGGTTTGAAGCCAGTATTTTTAAATGAAGGGTGCTTGGTAAAGACAAAGATGGTTTTAGAAGATTTGTATATGTGCTGTATTTATCCATTGTATATAGCTTTTTTAATTTCATAAACATTACTTTTAATTTTAGGAACAAGAGTTGAATGCTCGTGCCCGGGCCCTACAAGCTGCATCTGCTTCATGTTCATTTCGGCCCAATGGATTTGATGACAATGATCCACCAGGGAGCTGTGGGCCAACTGGTGGAGGGGGTGGAGGAGGATTTAATACAGTTGGCAGACTCGTATTTTGACCCTGAGAGAATTGAAAATGCATCTGGTCACAAAACATCCAGTACTATGGCTGTTAAAATGTCAGGCTGTAATGGATAGCATATCTATCTTATTTTTCTTTTCATTAGACCCAAATACTTTAAGAAAACACACTCAGTGTTTTTATTTTCTTGAAATACAAAATGCATCATGGAAAAAAAAATCTACCTCTTAAACTTCCATTTGCATTTATGGTTAGACATGCTTGACCAAAAATGTTGAGAGGAAAAAAGCATACCTGGTCCCTAATTAAGCTGCATTAAATTTGGTAGAAGGATTTAAATGTTGTATTTTCAGTTTTACTGAACGAAAATAATCCATTTAGCATTCTTTATAAAAGAATTGAGCTAGAGGTTCAATATATATGTTGTTTTAAGAAAAATGAAAATCTTTGTTTCTGGTAGAATTACCCCATTATTAAATTCAAGTCTTTGGGAATAGTAAAGATGCCCAGTCTCTGGAGGCAATAACAGTTTAGACTTCAGCTGCCAGACTTGGGGCCTTCTGCGCATGCTGGCCTCAGCATCACTCTTGGTTTCAAGAACTCGTGTCTTTTAAAGGATTATTTACACACACATGGTGAATGAATTTACAGAAGGTGCATGACCCTGTAAGGGCAGTGTTTTTAACCTGACTTTGTAGTATTTCCAGTTGTCCAAGGACTTTAAAATCCTGTTTTAGGGAGTATATCTCTTGTGTGTTTTCACAGGAGTTGAGTCCTGTATGTGCCTTGCAGTACTGTAATTCAAACATAGGTATCTTTGGCTGCAGAAAGTTTTCTAAAACAAAATGTTAGGAAGTAAATTTTGTGCTAACATTAAAATTATAATTTTTAAAGGTATTAGATTTTTTCAGAAGTAAAATCTGACGGTTCTAAAGCAGTAAGTGTAATGGTAAATTTCTAACTCTTAGAAAAATTCAGAGGAAATGAAGCTAGTTTAAGTAAAAGATCTTCAATTGATTTGTTACTGAATCCTCAAAACATTAAACATTGATAATATGTTTAGAGTTGTATATTTGGAATTTTTTTTCTTTATTTGAGACTCCTGCCTTATAGTCTCTGCTTCAGAGAGTACTCAAATGCCTCACCCCACCATCCCTACCCCCTCACCCCACCATCCCTACCCCCT